TCTTTTGGAGTGCGTTAAATACGCGAAGGAAAGAGAAAAATTAAAGAACAAATTAGGAAGTTTGGACAGACGGCCCCTCACAATAAAGAAACTACTCGGACCATGGCCTGAGATGCATCTTCAGAAAAAGGCAATAATATTCCTGACAGACTTTTTAGCGGAGACCGGACTGGACAAGCGCCTATGACTGACAGCCAGAGATGGGTATTATGTAAACTGTGGTCATGTATATACTGGCATTAGAGTAGTAAGGTGTGCGTGTAAATAGTTTATGACTGTGTGAACTGCGTGAAGAAAACTGTGTATTGGCATGTTATTTGAACTAATTTCAGTGTGCTATTATGTGTTTTCTTTTTCCTTTTCCGTATTGTTAATTTTTAGGTACCGTTCTGTATTATTATTTTATTTTTCGCTGCAGAACTTTGTGATATGGAGTAGCCGAGGCATTAGGCTCCTCAACCTCTCCACAGCAAAACAGTTAAAACAGAACAGAACAGAACCAGGATTTTCAATAGGGTGGGCATCATCTGCAGATTACTTAAAGTAAGGGTAAGAATTCGGGTGAAAGACCACGTACCCACCTTGTTTTAATGCCAATCGATTTATTATTTATCATGAAATGTAAAGAGTGAAACTTTTCTTAGCTAATTAAAATCGCCATATTCCTATCTATCTATCTATCTATCTATCTATCTATCTATCTATCTATCTATCTATCTATCTATCTATCTATCTATCTATCTATGTATCTGTCTGTCTGTCTATCTATCTATCTATCTATCTATCTATCTATCTATCTATCTATCTATCTATCTATCTATCTATCTATTATCTCTTTATTCATCTATCCACCTACGTGTTGCGCTTTATTTGCCACCTCCTTAGCATGGTATTGAGCAAAATTAGCCTAGGATGGCAAGAAGCCACGACCAACATAACTGTCTGGTCATGACTTCAGTACCACGTATGAGTGGCGTGCACGTCATTAAACCCTTCCTCCGAGTCACGTGTGCCACATGCGTGTATACCGCCTGCGTTAACACGAGGGTATTTTATGATTCACATAGTATATCTACCCGGGAACAGTGAGAACAGACATCGATAATTCCAACGGAACGGTGTCAAGAGAATGAGGCGAAAATCACAATGACCAGACAAATTCAAAGAATTAAAGTTTGAACACTAGCAAGAATCGAACGTGTGCATTTTGCGAGGCCATCAAGAGCTCATTTATTTATGTGATTTGCATAAATGTATACACAAGGACACAGAGAAAAAAGGGAGAGACGAAGATGACAAGCATACCGCCGGAAAGGGCTCGAGGCCTGCTTATTACAGGGGCGAAACTTCTAATAGCGGCACCCGTTCGTCCCTCGTAGCCGTTGTAGTATTTAACAATTATAACATTTTGACCTCCAAGGTGTTGCCGGTGGGAGATTTCTTCTGTCCGTTGTTGGACAATAAAAATGGTGCTCAATGTACATGCAATGGCTGCTAATGGGGAAAAAGAGACAGAGGCATTCGGCTTTTAGTTAACGCGAACGCTGCGATCCCCATCAGCAGCCATTGGCATGTCCATTGAGCCTTATCTGACAAGAAAGGGTTGCTACATTATACTCGCTGGGTGTAACCTTCTTAGTTTTAGAAAGGTTTAACGAGCGTGGAGCCGCAGTGCAATGAATACAATGAACTAGTATATACCGTGAATGAACTCGAAGTGGTTAAAGGTAGGAAGTAGATACGAAGCGCAAGCCGTAAGAAAGCAAAAGCCGAATTCTCCTGTCTCTCATTTCCCATTAGCAGCCATTGACATGTACATTGAACACTATCTGACACGAAAAGGTTGCTACGTTATACTCACTGGGCGTAACCTCCTGGGTTTTAGAAAGGTTTAGTGAGTGTTGGGCCGCAGTGCCACGAATACAGTTAACTAGTATATACCATGACCTCGAGGCGGTTAAAGGTAGGAAGTAGACCCGAAGCGCAATTCGTAAGAAAGTGTGCGTGTTCTGCCTCTCGTTTAGTCCTTGGAATGTCCGCTGGATGGCGGTGCTTCTATATGGGGAATATATGATGAAAAGATGCGAGATGGTGGTACTTGGAGTGCTGAATAGATGGACGAACGGACACACAGAGAGATGCATGGATGGACACATGAACGGACGCAGGGGTGGATGCACGGGTGAACGCAGGGACGGATGCACAGATGAAAGTGTGGACGCACGAACAAACGCACGCGCGGACGGGCGGATGGACACATGGACGGTCACACAGACGGACGCATGGACGGACGGAAGCAAGATCAAATGGACGGACGAATGCTTCATTCACCCCACTCTCCATTATTCACTCCGTGGATATGCTGCCAATTTTTTTTTCGAAAGGAGGGAAAAGATAGAGGGAAAAAATTGGCAGATCACACGTACAGTGGGAATTAATGATATGCGAAGCACGAATGAGATAGTTGATATGTCACTTTAAAATTAGCACAACGTTGCGAGGTTGCAAACCACCGTTAAAAGAATGGCGAAAAAAAACAGCATGATTCGATGTGTGCTTGCCGCTCAGCATGTCGGGGAACTGATGTGGGTAGCAGGTAAGTTGCTGTCGTCTCTTTCGAAGTGCGGAAAAAGCGCAATGATGACGTCTTTTTATATCACGTATATGTTACACGCCAACACGACCACAAGCTATCAAAGTGTAACAGCGTATAGACAGATGTCAATACCCAGATATCGTTGAATTTAGTTCATCTGTAGACTTCATTGCGTCCGCGTAATACCGGGTTGCTGCCGCCACAATCGCAACAGGTTGGATAGGTGGGGCCATCTGGAGGCGCAAAGGAGAACCTGGCAAACAGGGAACGTATTTTTCCGCTGATGTTCATTCCCGATAGCGATATTCTATTAGCCCCCTTGGGTATACCTCAATGCTGTGCATGCCAAAACACACCAATATAGCTAACTGAGACACACGAGCGAACATGCCTGAAGCATGGATACTCGGCACTTCGTCAGTGCTTCTAAGAACGGCATCCACTTTGGAATAGCTGTTTTGCTAAGGGTCAACCGAAGCAAACATATTTCGCGACGTCGTCAATCGCGGGGATTCCAAGCGGCAGACTATTGTATTCAACCCGAGTCGACACCTTTTACGGTGACGACGGCAATGCGGGTTGGAAGGCATGACTGACTATGTCCACCTAGCAGACGAAATGCTTGCAGAGCAGCTGAGCCTGACGTCACCCTTTTCTGTGAAAAAGTGTGCAGCTGTGGCGCGATCTGGTGGTTACCGCGAGATAGCGCCACTGGTATTGCTCTCAGCGCTAAAATGGTGGTATAGCCGGCCGTTTTGCAACGTGCTAGATATCAGTGATATGAATCAGTAAAAGTGATAGATATTCATCTCCCTGTTGCGTTTTAGGTCATGAATCGCGGCTATGGGATTCATAACTACTTGTTCACGCATAAGTCTTGGAATGAATAAATTTGATTTCAGTGCTTTCTTAAGAAGCTTCGTTTGAAAAAAATTTAATTTATATACATGCTAGTGTCGTCTATTTCTTCCTCTTTCTATTATGTTTGTGTGTGCGCACTGATTTGCGACGAAGATCTACAAAATTTCCAAACTTGCCGCTTGGCACGTACGTGTTATTATTTAAACGATGGTACAGTTGGTGTATCTAATGGGGGCGTAATGTGCACACAAGTAGTGCATTTGCAAAAGCATATTGATCCCTTACACTGAAGGAAGTACGAAGCTGGAGAGCCTTCTTTGCTTCTATGCGGTTTTCTCTCTTTCTCCTCCTCTTGTTATTTCCTTGCATAATTTCCCAGTGATGTTCTTTCCCCTTCTTTTTTTTTGCTTTATCTTGATGTTGTCTATTTTTGTCCCTGTCTTTCTCGCTTCTGTGCATTTTTCACGCCTGCTCTCTCTCTCTCTCTCTCTCTCTCTCTCTCTCTCTCTCTCTCTCTCTCTCTCTCTCTCTCTCTCTCTTTTTTATGCTTACGTGATTTCGCTTGTGCTTTGCCGAACGCAATAATTGCTTTATGTTAGACGATGACAAAAACCATCTTCAGGGTACTCACCGAACAAAAAAAGGCTTTTCATTGGCCCCACGGCAGCCCGTGCTCAATACGGTACACATGGAGCATTACACCTCTAGCCGTGAGGACAGCATACTGCATAATAGGATACCCCAGCCCCCAATGGGCTCCGCACTTCAAAAAAAAAAAAAACATGATCTCTGGCTCACTTTTGGCATCGCATCAAACTGATTCCCTCAAGTGGGGGGGATCTGCAAATTTTTGCATCCTGTAGGCCCTCACTGCAGTTATTGTAGGGCGATAAGGCTGCCGCTTTCGCTGTGGCTAAGGCTCTGGTTGACGAAAAAATAAATCAATTATTCTAGAAGCAACATCAGAAGAAGCTACAATTAGAAGTTCGCCTAGTTCGTAATACAAAAATTTCGTGAGGTTTACAAAACAGAACCGGACGGGACAAAGTGCAAAAAGCACAATGCAGGAGCTGCATTGTCTTTTCCCTGTAAGTTCCATTCATTTGAATTCAGTGCGATTTACCGAAACCCATTTTCCGTGCAAAAGCAAGTACAGGCCACTTTTCGTGCCATGGCATTCAAAACACGCGTTCTAAGCACAATCATGTTTTGCGCAATTACCTCCATCGGTGTAAAGAGTGTGTTCGTTTCCATCTATAACTGCATCAGCGAGTTGCAGTAGTATAAAATATTAACAAGTGATGTAATTATTATGACACCTGTTCAGCGCTAGTCTGCTCTGCAGTGCTACTACACAGGGCGGAAAGCGTCGCAAGAAGCCTTCAAGAAAAATTGTCACTGCTGAGACGATGAAAAATTAACACTACAATGTACTTTTGCCTTGTATTACTTTCTTTTTTCTCCTAACAATATGATTGAGGGAATACTATAGGTGAAGGAAAAGTATTGCCTTGATTGTTGTTTTAAGCAGCGTGCAGCTGACTGTGACCACTAGCAGTCGAAAGGGGGGCAGCCCCCCAACTTTTCTGAAAGGGGGGCTTGAGCCCCTCCCCCCTTCTGGGCTGATACGCCTATGCTGGAGGGGCAACAGCGGTGGCAATGGGGGCTGGGCCACATTGGCGACAGCTGGGACAGCGGCATAGGTAGCGATGGCTGGGGCGTGGTAGGTGGATGCAACATTGGTGACGGCTGGAGCAACAGCAGCGTAGATGGCCGCAACCTTGTTGACAGCTGGAGCAACAGCAGCGCAGGTGGGGACAAGAGCATGGGCAACCATGACTACAGCTGGGGCAGCGTTGATAGCGGCAACACGGGTCACAGCTGGCGCGGCGGCATAAGTGGCGATGGCAGGAGCAGCATGGGGTAGCGTGGGCGACGATGTGCATAACTGGAGCGTAGCCGAGGCCATAACCATAGCCGATTCCACCCAGGCCGTAGTCCATTCTCCCGAAGCCGTAGCCAAGACCATAACCGATGCCTTAACTAAGACCATAGCTAGTGTTACCGGCGAAGGAGCTGGGGGAGAGAGCGTGGAAGATGCAAGCACGGATCTGAAATAAATGGGACCAGTCCAAGAATTTGACGCCGTTCTGTATATGCGATCATTTAATTTAAGCTGTATATAAAGCTCGTGTGCCGAACATGTAGCTCTAAGAACCCATGGCTTGTAAGAGGAGATGATAATTGGGCTCTTATATGGTAAGATACGGGAAGGCTCTTACAATATTGCCTGTCAAGCCATCTGCTGCCGAGGCAACTGCTGAAATTGGCCTTGCGCTTGAAGAATTTTATACGGCTACCCCTCGCACGCGTCGCAAGGGTCAATTTCTTCGTAAATGCAAACTCTGCGTAGGCTATCTGAGATACTGTGACCCCTACAAATTAATCATGTACAGCGTCAATTTTTGTGAAAGGGAACACGAGAACGCGTGGCCTGCGTGGTCCGGCGGCTGCTGGCAGCGCGTTCAAGGGAGAGTGAGAGGAACCACCGTCTCTTTTCGCGTCATCTCGCGGCGAGAAAAACAACCATTCGTAGGTGCTATGGAACCAGCGGTAAGACTGCGACCTTTTCTTCCTTGAACGCGATTACGTGAGAGCCAGGAATCGCCTTGAAAAGTGAGGGTTTGCAATATTGCCGTTCTATATCAGTAACAAATGGTTGCTTTGCCCGCCACGGTATGACGCGTAAAGACACCGTGGTTGCTCTCGCTTTCGCTAGAACGCGCTGTTAGGAGCCATTGGAGCACGCAGGCCACACTTCGCCATGTTACCTTTCATAAAAATTGACACTGTACGTTCTATGGTAAGCTTTTAACCCCCCTCCTGTCTAAGACGAATGATTCCCACTGAGAGAGATACGAAGAATCTTTCACATTTGCATATTGCATTCATTAACGGCACGCGGATGAGCCGCAACTTGGATGAATGATATAGTGTGTGCCTTAGTAGCACGATAATGTTGCTGTTGTGCATGTACATTTCTAGGTACATGGGATGGCTTCAGGTACATGGTGAACGCATGAGGAACTTGATAGATTCTCAGGGGCAAGTGTTAACAAATGTTCCAGTGGAAAAATCAAAAATATATCTGAAAACTGCATATATATAGTGGAAACACAAATGTAGCAAAAAAAGCGATGTTCCCTAATAACGTGACACACAAACAATACATAATATTATAAAACTAATATTTATGCACGTTAGGCACCTATATCTTGTCTACTAGTGCTATGTAAACACCTCGGTGAACTTGAGTCAAATGCGGTGTTGGTAGGCTTTCGTGATGTGATTTGTAATTACTGGAAGGCTAGTGTCAACAAAATGCGAAAAAGGAACGAACAATCCACGATGTTGTGATGATTAAAGCGGCTTACAGCAAAACATACTGCAGGAGCGTGACAAGCGGCGGCAAGCTTGTCTGGAGCTTCACATTCCTACAAAGAACGGGCGTTCGCAACACGCTTTCGACAATACGGTGCGAATTTAGATGATTTGTTCAAAACTCCTTTCGTCTGCGGCGCTGAAGGTCACCCAAATCCCTTTGACCGGTATCGCAGGCAACGAAATTTGAAGTTATTGTCGCTTATATAATTATCAGTCGCGTAGTGTCATCGATTATCATCTTACATTTCTGTCAAAGCTGCTTCAACACAAGCGAAGGTGTAGCATAATTGATGCTCACCTTCGCTAATATCCATGAACAGCATTCTTATCTGTCCATTCCTTACCGAATCGCGAGCGTACTTGCCGATGGGCGCGTACTATTGAACGAGCAACGAGTGAAACTTTTGCTTCTCTTAGAAGCTCTCTAGGTGTTCCGAGTAATTAAAGGACTTTCAAGAAAAACAACTGCCACGAAATTGACTGTTCTGGGTCACGTTCAGGGCAATGTTGGGTGTTGGAAAATAGCCAGCCACAAACTGACGTCAGACTCTGTGCCAGGTGATGATGATGGTGATGGCCTAAATTTATGGCTCAAACCCAACCGATTGGCCAAAAAACAAACAATTAGATAGGAAGCATTACGTAATAATTCGTAATCTAATGAAATACAAAATGGTTAGAAGAGATTAAATTTTACTACATTGGGGGCTTGCGAAAAAACTACCTTGATTCAATTAGGAACCTTTCTACAGCAAACCAGATATCCCAGCTGCAACAGTGTTCATTCTTCACTCTAAAACGTGTTTGTTTCATAGCAGAAGGTTCATAAATGATGTTGTTTGCCATTACTCACTTTGCCGGAAAGCATCGTCTTGGTGCTGTAAATTGGGGCAACAGAAAAATGAAGATAAACTACAAGTGAGATATATAACTCAAAATAACTTGTTCACGAAACAACTATGTAAAATGTGTAACGCGGAAAACCTACGTAACGCGAAATAACTTGTTCGGCTGCCATCGAACAAGGAATCTGTAAACACATTCGGAAGATCCCATGTACCTTGGTAATTAATGTTATGCATAGCAGGTGCATGAAAGTGTGCCTGTGTTGTAATTTTTTATTCGGGGAAACGTCCCGAAGTGGCGCTAAAATGTGTACAAGGGCGCATGTAGACATACGGTAAAGAGCTTTTTATGTTATATATCACCAGTTCTTTACAGTTGCATAACGATACCAACAGCAAGATGTACAGTGTCAGTTTTTATGAAAGGGAACACGGGAGCGCATGGCCTGCACGCTCCGGTGGCTGCTGGCAGCGTGTTCAAGTGGAGCGAGAGCATCCACAATCTTTTTACGCGTCAAGCTCGCGGCGAGCAAAACAACCACTTAGTTGCTGATATGGAACCAGTGGAAAGACCGCAATTCTCTTCCCTGTTCAAGGCGATAACGCAAGAAGCCGATAATCACCTTGCAGAGGAAGATGGTATCAATCTCGCTGCTGGCTTCGTATGCTTGTTTTCCTCAGCGAGAGAGGACGCTAAAAGAAAATGTGGTTGCTCTCGCTCCCGCTTGAACGCGCTGCCAGCCTCCGCTGGATAGGGAGCCTTCGTTTGCGTGCGTCTCCGTGTTTTAGGTGGTGACAACTCCGATCATGGTTGCTTACAACTGGCTAAAATGGCATCCATACTTTCCGGGCCACCATATTGGTTCTGAGTGGTTGCTCATTTACATTGACGGCAGCGTGGGTTTCAACGAAAACAGGTTTTTTTTTTGTATAGCAAGTGCTGAAGGCTGAAGGGTTGTTTTCTGAAGTTAACTGCGGTTTGGTAGAACAGGAAAGACATGTTCGTGACTCGAGTTTGTATAAAATACTGTTAAAACAGTTCTTTTCTCTTGCTTGGTAGACCCACCGCATTGGCGGAGTGAGGTTATTTAGAGAGCCTATATTTGCGAGGGGGAGAACCTCGATGTCACTACGAATGGACTTAATGTCTGCGCGCCATTCATGAAGCGTATTCACTTTAGCACTGCTAATACCTCAAAGGCCTCTTAGTACAAAGCTTGAAACCATGCTGTTTATATGATGCAACTCGCAACGAAAGGGAAGGCAGAACAAACAACCGGGTAGCTCGCGATGTTCTCTGTAAACAGAATAGCTCAGCTAGCCTGTTTCTCATACCCTAAACATTGTGTTTCTCCGTAATATAATTTCCTACAGCAAGTTTAGTTCCTGCGAACGAATCTGTACAATGACTGCTTAAAAACCTTACAAGCTGTAAGCATTGCCCGTAAAAGTAGGGCATTCGATCACATTACACCGCCCTCCCCCTATGCCCACAAGCCTGTATATTAGGCTAGAAGAAAAGCAAAGGGGAGCAACGAGGGACAAATCAAGTTTTTCCAGGTCATATTTTATTGCAAACAGCATCCAAACGGCACCTGGCCTTGTGCCTTCAAACCATCCTGCCTCCTATCCTGGAAGCTTGTGTCCTCGCAGTGGGCCTAGAGTAAAGCAATAGGACAAAAAGTTATACACGGCTCTGACCACAAATACGGAGTCCATACACATTTTTCCTACAAGCACTAAGTAAAAGCGGAGTTTACGATATCAAATCATCTGTGTGTCTGGTTATGAAACAAAAGGACGACGCAAATAACGATGCAGCACATGGGGCGTATTTGAGTTATGGGCTGACAACCGACTTGCTTAGTGCACATATACTGCTCCGTTCAGGACCGACAGATAGACAGAAAGATCAACGGACACGAACAGTAATCTGTCGCATTTTATGTCATTAAAGAGAAGTCCTGTTTGCAATTATTGAGCGAGTTTAGGTGTGGTTGCGCGTGTCATTGAAGCGAAGAACGAATACCCCATGGCAAGCCACACAAAAAGTTAGTTGCGTTGCAACTGTGCAAGACAAGCGCCTACAGGGAACGTGTTCATCGGCTCATCTGTCTACCTCTCTAAATGCCCTTCCTCAGCAACCGAGGAAAAATTGCAGGAATGCGAACATCTGCCAGAAAAGGAAGAAGCGAACGAGAGCGTCTGTAGGTGGTTTACGGGCCTGGCGTTTTCCGCGACGAATGCAGTGATGGCTTCGGAAACCGACTAAGTGCAGGTAGTGAATGCATGCAGGACCGCACATTCCACTAGTCATATCATTCGATTGAGGAACTGCGCTTCGACTACAAGGATAAACAAGCATACCCAACCATCTTCCGCTCGCACAGCGTAGCCGAACGAAGCCTAATTCATTATTATACTGTGCACGTTGTCGTGCTTTCTTTGTTCAAACTTCTTTTCGTTGCATGGCTAAGTCAGCCATTTCACGAAATGTGCGGTGATATACTCAACCCACTCGCAATACAACGGGTACTCACCTCACAAACATGGCGAGAAGTAGTCGCCTCCAAGCAGTCTCACTTCACTTGTGTAGCCCAGCGTTTCCGTTGGCTAGAGCAAGTCGGGAAGCGGGAAGGTCTCCAGATGGTTTTGCATTGTGGCACGCAGCACCGTGGTATATAGA